TGGTCTCTGTCTGGGGAGCTAATGGATATATTGATCAGTTTTCAAGAGAGACATCATTCACAAACTGACCCCTGACCTGTGACAGCAGACTAACATTTGTGTTAGCTTCTATAACTGTATGAACAGACCCAGTTGCTGGGAAGACATGGGCAGCTATTGCCTTGACAACACAGCATACAAGTTTCTAGTTCCCTGAGAGGATAGGGATTACTTTTCAGTCATACCTATGAATTTGGGTGTTGCCTATGGGCTGAGAATGTTAACCCATAATTCAATTACTAAAAGTTTGTTCAGTACCAAAATATTTGAGATTTGGGTTGCAAACTATATAAATGAAGCTTAAAGATGTGAAAGGCCATGACAATGTAGTACACTATATTTAAAACTTGATTATTAGTAGGAGAAAGATATCCGATTTTAAATAAGAAAGCATTTTTTCTATGAAAGAATCATGTATGTTATAGACTGTATATCCTGACATAAAACAAAAATAATGAAAAAATATTTATACTTCAAAATTCTGCTCCATTATTACAGACCCTTTAAGGTCATATGCCTCCACCTATTTATGTGATGCACCTGTTGGGTCAGGACTAAGATTCAGGGAATACAACTTCAGGCTGGGAGATGGTAGGGTTCAAAGGTCTGGAACGGTTTGTGAAGTAATTGTGGCCCCACCCATGAAGCAAGCTGAGATTCGGACAGTGCTTTACAGTAGGGCTTGCTTTCCCTTAAAGTTCTTGTAACTGTGAATAGCTTATAAAGAAGACCAGGCATGCTTTCCCGGAAATTGAGAGACACGTGGGCTAAACATCCCTGTTGCCTTAAAAACTGATGGCCTGTCACCAGTAGTCATGCCAGTGAGGCCATTGAAAATCAGTCAGTGGTCACTTTGCCCTCCAGTTGACCACCTATGAGTGAGTGAAATCAGCTGAGCTAACTCACAACAGGGAACTTACTGATCAAATAATGAAATGTATGAAAGCATATGCAGATACCTAGTGAAAACACTGAGTATATGTGTACATGTACAAGTATAAGTGCAATATACATTACAAATGTACCATATTTTGTTCTTTTTTAAAAAATGGGAATCATTTGAGGTAGAATTACTAGAATCCCTGCATTTGTAGGGCATAAACTGCAACAGTGTTATAAATACATGTAATCTCCCACTTGATATCAGTGAGGATAACATAAAATTCATAATCTGCTATTACAAACAGTATATTAAGGACAATTGGTCACTATGTTCTATCAACACACTGTGAGAGTTAAGATTTAAAATTAATATTGCTCAAACTATTACAAAGATACAATAGTCAAAACAGCATTGTATTGGAATAAAAATAGACACCAGGTAGCATAAAGTTGAGAGACAAAAAATAAAGGCACATTTACATGGACAGTTAATTTACAAGAAAGTAGTCAAGGAGATACAATGGACAAAGACAGTCTCTTCAACAAATGGTACTGGGAAAACTGGACAGCCACAGACAAAAGAGTAAAACTAGATCACTACCTCACATCATATACAGATATTGATTCAAAGAGGATAAAATACATGGACATAAAACCTGAAACTATAAAATACATTAAAAAATAGGCAAAATACAACATTGGATTTAGTGGGTATCTTTGGGGTTTGGACTTCAACAGCAAGGGAAACAAAAATTAACAATGGGACTTCCTAAAATTAAAAAAAAATGGGCAGAGTGAAAGAAACTATCATTAAAATAAAAAGACACCCTACTAAATGAGAGGAAAGTTTTACACATCATAGCTCTAACAAGGGGTTAATATCCAAGTTATTACAGAGACCTCATATAACTCAACAGAAAAGAAAATACTTAGTCAAAAAGTAGATAGAAGATCTAAATAGACTCTTCTCTCAAAAGGACATATGATTATTATCAGGGAAATTTAAGTAACAACTGGAATGTGATATCACCTCATAGCAGCAAGAATGACCCATATAAAAGAAATAGAAGCAAGAAATGTGAAGGTGTGGAGGAAAATGAACCCTGGTACATTGTGGGTGGGAATAAAGACTAGTCCACCTCTATGGCAAATGTATGAAAGTTCTTCAAAACATTAAAAATAGATCTACTCTGTGATCCAGCAATTCCACTCCTAACTATCTACCCAAAGAATACAAAAACACTAATTTGAAGGGTCCTATGCACTCCTATGTTCACTGCAGCACAGTTAGAATCAATAGCCAAGCTATGGAAACCAACCTCATTGCCTAATGACAGACGAGTGGATGAAGAAGATGTGATGTATTTACATAATAGAACATTGCTTAGCCCTTAAAAAAAGCATATTCTTGCAATTTGTGACAACACATATGGAACTGGAGTTGATTATGCTGAGTGAAATGAGACTGAAGGGAAAAGACAAATACTAGATGATATTACTCATATGTGGAATTTAAAGAAACATACTTCCTCTTGTCAGAGAAGAGATGGAGTGCTCAATAATGATTGCTATGTAAATTTGGCATGATTTGTGTAGTCCTAATCTAGCATTTCATGTTTCGTCTTATTTTCTAAAAAACATGGAGAATGCTGACAACCAGGGACAGAACAAGTAGACAAGTGACACAGAATATATATGGGATTATAACCATGACCCTGCAGGGATTTTTCTATCCAGACAGCCAACAGAATAAGGCAATTCCAAATAAGATAAGGAAAATTAAGGGGATGATATTTAAGGTCAGCAGCCACCTCACAGCTTCAATTACTGACAAAGTTGTCTAGAAAGCCCTAAACATATGGCGAAGAGACAAAGAGGCAGATTCATGAGCTGAGAATTCAACCTCCCGGAGCCATGTGGGGACTGAGAAAATGTCCATTACCCCCCGCTACCATCTTCCAGTTTAGTCATCCAACAAGAAGTGAACAGGAAATTCCAACTATAAGAAATGAAAAGATTGGAGCAGAAGATATGAAGCACCTGCTTTTCACTATTGACCAGATAAATCCACACTATCTATGCAGCCTGAATGTTTTATTACTTTTACCTAAAGATATCTCTTTTCAGAGAGACAAACATGGCTTTTTTGGTAAAAGCTTGGTTTTTCCTAATACACCTTTAAATGTTTTTAAATTGTTTCATATATGGCCAATTTGAGATTTTAATTTGCAATAAAAATTTACAACTTGATTTTTTAAATAAAGTGGACAAAGGGCAAGCACCTGAGGGGGAAAATTACTGAATTATAAAATTTTCCTGGTTCATTCTTGAGTTTAAAAAAAAATAATTAACAGAGAAGAATTTCAATTTTGAAGGTATTATTCAAAATCAGTGAAGTATTTCCTGTGTGAACAAAACTACACTTACCAAACAAAAATTTTTATACCTCACAGTTCATGTTTTATTATTTTTTCTTTGTTCTCTTATCTATTCATTGAACAGTTTGCCAGAAATTAAACACTCTTCTTTTTTTACAGCTGGAAAACTGAGATAGAGAGATCAGATCAATGCAGAAAGTAATAATCCTTCAGTATTGGAACATTCAAGAGACTGCTGCTTTTTCTCTTTTTTTTTCACCTCTTCTTCCAAATCTCCTATTTACTTTCTATTTTCTCCATAGTTTTTTCATTAAAAATAACAACAACCTATTTGTCATGATTCCTCACTTAAGCAAGGAGTTTTGGACATTTGGATACCTGGTTTCTAGCCTTAACAGTTAAATGGGAGCAAAAATGTAAACAAGTGGTTCTCAATCCTGGCTGTACATCTGAACTCCCTTGGGAACTTTTTGCCCCACCACCCTTTCTGACTCCCCCCCCCTCTAAAACTAGAGTCTTCACTGTATTTAGTAATGTGCACTGGTTTCTGTAGGTCCTTTACTTTGTCAATTTATTCATTATGTAAATGTCCAATATTTGTCTTTGTCTTTCTGATTTACTTTACTATACAAAATTCCCCCAAACTCCATTTTGGTGTAAATGGCTGCATTTCAATTTCTTTATTACTGAATCTTACCCCATAGTGTGGATGTACCATATCTTCTTGATCCAATTGTCTGTTGTTGGGCAGTTAAGCCAAGCTAGACACCCTTTCACTGCTTCCATATTCCCCCAGCTGAACCTCTGTTACTCTGTATCTACTTGTCAATTTACTCATGTGTTTGAATCCAATTCTTATTCAACATTTTACACCCAACACCTAGTGCAGTATCTGATACACAGCATGTGTTCAGAAAATACTTGTTGAATGAATGAATGCATGCTTGAATGACTACAGGAAGGAGGGCATATTTCAAATAGAGCTGAGTGCTGTTGGAGAGTTCACTGGTGAGCAGGTAATAGAGGGTTCTTAAGCAACTAAAATTCAGCCTTCTTTTTATTATCACTTTCCTCTGGAAATTCTAAATAGTGTCAGTGGTAATATACCCCTGTGACCTAATTCTAAACAATTTGGTTATAACTGAGTTTTAATCATATGTATGTGAGCTTCAAATTAGTGCCCATCTATTGACAAGGGGTCTCCCTAGAGGGCATGGTATTGAAGTCTAAACCATCTCCAAGCCCAACAACTATATTTGGGCTGGCTTTGCTGCTCCCTGTCTGCTATTTTCTGCTTTTACTGGAATACAATTGAGGCCTCCCAAAGACCACTCTTACCATTCTGTTCTCTATGCAACCTAGCACTATGACTGACTCTTTTCTGCTCTTCTGGCATCTCTTCCCTGTGCCCTTTCCTTTTATTCACCATCCATCACTAGGGGAGGCACTAAGAACACATTTCCTCAGGGCTGGCTAAACCAGGAGAGTCTTCAAATTGTCCTTTCCCATTGCAATCAGGGGAACCCCAGAACTTAGCACAATGGGAGGCCCTCAAATGGCCATTATCAGAAATTTTATATTATTAATGTAGATATAGCCTACTATTTCCATACATTTTTCAAGGCATTATTACACTACATATTAGAAAACCAGGGTGGATTTTTCAGAATACAAGCAACTTTGTAGTATTACTATCTTGCATTTTACTTAGCTTATTAAACCACTTTATTTCTTGCTTTGGAAAGAATGGTTAAGAAGACAAGCATTAGACATGATCTTTTTAAAGACAAAGTTGTTACATGTTGTTAACTATCACAGAGAGGGGCAGTACCACAATCATGTATATTTGCAAGGTGCTTTCAGAGATTCTTCAGGCTGGGATGGAAGACTGAAGATGAGTTGCATTCTTGCCATCCAGCTAATTTACGTCTCACTCAGAGCTCCATGCAGAAGTTTGGGAAGATTGGGTTTCCTTCCACCTTTTTCTTATAGATTTCATCAAATCTTTCATTCTGTGCCACAGTGAAATGGTTTTTCCAGTCTCCCACAGTTCCTAGAGAAGAAAGTTCAGATGGGGGTGTCACTGATTGAAATTGTCAGTGGCCTAACTAAAGAAGCGGCATGCCTGGAAACACACAGGCACTACCCCCTTGTTGCAATACTCTGCTTTAAGTGGCCCCAGGGTGCTTGGTGGACTGATGAAGAAGGTATACATTGACCCAGAAGAGCTGGTGACCTAGTCCCATTGAGGAATATTCACATGATAGACTGTTACACAGAAGTGAAAATGAATAATTGACACTCAGCTAGATGGACAAATCTCAAAACATTACTGAGCAAAGACACCAGACCCAAGAAAGTACAATTGACGCTTGAGTAACTTAAGTTTTAACTGCGCAGGTCCACATACATATGGATTCTTTTTTTCAGTAAATACATATTTGTAGTGTTCGCATTCATGGACTCAACCTACCATGGATGTCAGCTGGTTAAACCCACAGATGGAGAGTTGACTTTAAAGCACTTGAACATTGCAGATTTTGGTATCCACAGAGGCCCAGAAATCATTCCTCCATGGATACCAAGGGATTACTAATTGATTTTTGAGAAGTCAAAAGTTATATGAGATTTTTCCCTGGGAGAGGGTCAACTACCCATAGTGTATGATTTCATTTACATGAAATCCAAGAACAGCAAAATCAATGGATAGTTATAAAAATTAGAACAATAGTTCTCTGGGAATGGAGATGGATTAGAAGGCATGAGCAGGAAATTTCTGGGGTGATGAAAATATTTAATGAATCACTTGGGTTACTGGTTATATGGGTACATACAGTTATCAAAGCTTGAACTGTGCATATTTTGTATGTAAATTCTAACACAATAAAAAGACTTGGGGGGAAATGTGAATGAAATTCCCTTTTTTACCAAGTTATAGCTATTAAAATAATTTTAAGAGTGAAAATGCCCTTTGTCCCACCTATACTTTTTCTGGAAAATTATGCCACAGAAATGAAGTTGTTGGGGGCCTCCCCTGGTGGCAGAGTGGTGGAACGCTGGGCTCTGAAGCTGCCCGCAGCCTCTGCAGTGCCGGTTGGATCCCCAGCCGCTAGCGAGGGTCCCACATGATGTGACAGACCTCTCCTCCCACGCCTGCTGCTCCCCTCACCAGTGTACTTCATTGATCTGCCTGTTCTGTTCCCCAGTCTGGCTCGTGAATTCTCTCACTCTCCCGCGCTTCTGACTGTACCCAGTGCTTGTATACATAAATAAATAAATCTTTAAAAAAAAATGAAATGAAGTTGTTGGAATAGAAGAACATATGCACAAATATGTTCCTGTAACATTATTCATAAAGACAAAAAAATAAAAAGAATAACTGTAATGTCTATCATTGGGAAATAGCTGAGGAATTATGAAGAGTCCATGAAACCACTCAAAACAGTGAGCTACAAGGACTTACATGCCTTGCCCTGGAGGGATGCCTGATATTCTGATAAGTTGGAGTAAGTATCTGATTTTGTTGGAGTAAGTATCAGCCTGGGGGGAAAGGTATGTATAGAAAGATAGGTGTGTACAAGTCTGAAGAAGGACCGCTTGCAAATCATCATTATTGATTATCTGAAGAGAAAAGAAAATAGAATTGTTTGGTTTATTTCAGTAGCACAGAATGGTATTATAGACTGGAATATGAAACACATAATTTTTTTTTAGTCACTGTGAAGGAGAGAGGAGAAGGAAGAAGAGGAAGTGAAAATGGGGGAGGAGGAGAAGTTGCAAAGGACACCATGGTCCCACTGTTGTGAGAGAAAAGTCCGTGTTTATAAAACAGAGAGAAGCAGACTTCTCTACTTGGCAGTTACTACTTGGAAGCAGAGTTTTGGTGAAGGGACTCTGTGTGTGTGTGTGTGTGTGTCCTCGCCGGGCAGCAGCTTTGGGAGCAGAGCAGCATGGAGGAAAGACAACTCAAAGACCAAGAAGTGTGTGAGGAGAGGGAGAGAGGGAGAGAGAGAGAAAAAGAAAGAGAGATAGATCTAGAGGGACTTACAACTCAGGGACTATGGCACCTATATACAGGGCAGTATCACATTTATTGGGGATTAGGTTTAGGGAAGGTGGGCAAATATGTGGAGGAATGTGTGGAGGAATGTGGGTGGTGGGGATGTGGATTTAGGGATTTAGGGTGCAAAACTGTCAGGCACAAGCTAGGGGAGAGTGAATAGGGGCTGTTGGCTGGGGGTTTGGAGTCGGGGAGCTCCATTGTTGCTGCTGATCAAAACATCCTATCTCTAGTCCCTGTTTACACTTAACTTTGGTCAATGTAGTCTAGCTGCTTATGCTAATCTGGCCATTATGTCTGCCTGCTGTTTTCATCAGACACTGGTTTTCCAGTATGTTCCTCACACCGAGACTTTTGTTCTAGTGTGAGGACCCCTGCCTGACTCTACATTTTAGCTTGACCACCAGGAACTCTGGGCACCAAGACAATATCTGGAGATCAAAGAGAGCTGGGGAATCCACATATATACACATACCTATATACATATATACACAACAACATACATATATATACATGTATATGAAATTCTATATTGATCTAGTTTTTCAGTAACATGTAAAAATTAATTATCTGAAGAGAAAAGAAAATAGAATTGCTTGGTTTATTTCAGTAGCACAGAATGGTATTGTAGACTGGAATATGAAACACATAAATTTTTTTTATGTGTTTTTTTGTTTTTTTTTAATTTTAAAATTAAAATTAATTAAAGAGTGTTGAACTTTTTTCCCTTAAAATATTAGCTGACCCCATAAGAATTCCTCTTTTAGGAATTGAAACTAAGAAAAATTAAAAGAATTAGGCAGTTTTCACAAGTCGTTGCAGTTAAAATAATCATGCAGGGCCTCCCTGGTGGCGCAGAGGGTTGAGCGCCATGCTGTGAGGCTGTCAGCAGCCTCTGCAGGGTGGGTTCGATTCCTGGCCGGCCAGGGAGAAACCCACATGGTGCAGCAGACCTCTTCTGCCTCGCCCGCTGCTCCCCTCAGCAGTGTTGTTGGTTCATCTTCCTGTTCTGCTCCCTGCTCTGTCTCTGGTGAATTCTCTCACCCTTCCGCTCATCTGTCTTGTATCCCGGTTCTTGTATGAATAAATAAATAAATCTAAAAAAAAAGCATCAAATCTTTTTTAAAAAAAAGTCAGTAGAAACTGTAAAGGAGAAATAAAGCATAAGGGGTAGAGAGACAGGAAGCTGGTCAGCTGAGAAAGGCATTCCTCGCAGATCTGGGGAGAGTGGCTGAGTTCTGTGAGTGGGGGAGCCTTTGAGCAAAGCAAGTACACACTCCTCCTGATGCTGCAGTCCCAGACATTTTCCAGTAATCCTCATCTGGTATGAGCCAGTCATTCCTGCTCCTTATTTACCGGACCGCATTCTCCTGTTACTCCACTAGAATTCTTATGACAAGTCCCTGGTATTGGAGGTAGCTAAAGGACTCTGTTCCTTGCAACTAAGTCCTTCAAAGAGCTCTCTTTTAGAACATGATCGAATCCCCCACCTTTTTGGTAGAAGATATTACAAACAAACAAAAAAAAAAAAAAAAAAAAAAGAAGATATTACAAACGGTCTATATGTGTTATCTTGGAATTAGTAAAACATAATATCTTCTTGCTAAGAGGCAGGCCCTATGTTACTAGAAAAACTGAGTATTTGATTTATACTTATTTTCATAAAACTTGAGGACTCACAAACCTTTTCTCATGAAGGGGGAAACAGACTGGTCCAGGACAGATTTGGGAACTGTAGAACGATTTGTCATGGGATTTTCTTTCATTTTCTCAAATGATGTCTCCTGGACAATTTTATCTAGCACTTTTTCATCCAGATTCTTTCCCATGAACTTCATCACCTTCTGAATTTCATGCTTTGGGTCCTATGGTGAAGATAAAATTGCATTGGAATGAAAGAGGGTATCAGAAGAACACTTAAATTCTTCAAAACAGCCCTCCCAGAAGTTAGTTCCACCCTGAAGACCCTTGATATTTCTCTGCACCTTCGTCGGACGTGTTTCTTCTGAAGGGCCTTTACTCACCCTCTTTATGTCCTCATAGAAGAGGAAGAGAATCCGGTATCTGTCTTTCCTCTCCCACCATCCTCTGACATGGTCAAACCAGGAACCCCAGCCCACTGTAACAGAACAAAGAGTTCTGTATGAGGATCATACAAAACTGCCCCATAGTTAAGAATTTTATTTACCTGAAGTGTTCTGGAGAGAGAGAAACAAATTCTGGGTCAGATATATCCCAAAAGTCATAATCTGTTTGATTTGAGAAGCCATTGAGTAACTTATCCCAACATGCTACTTGTAGTAGCTCCACGTTTATTGAGGCAACCATATATGCCCTCGTCTAGGGACAGGAATACTATTTGAAACGAGGGTGACTCTGCAGGTCAGGAGACCCAGAATGAAGGCTCTTGAGTGGAATGGAAGCTGCCTGCTAGGGTTGTGGGTATTCACAGGGCATGGAGGACATGCCTAGAGGGGCACAAAACATGGTTTCCCACAGGGAAACCAAAGTACTATGTTGTGCTTAGGGGACAGCCAAAGAGATGGAGGGTTAGCCTTTACCTTTTCCACTGATGAAGGTTTCATAATACTCCTCCCAAGTACCAGGATCAGGCAGCATTTGATTCATCCTTTGGAAATGATAGTAGGAAACCATGCAGTCTTTGGCGTTTCGAGCTACATAAAGGAACTTTGGGGTAATAAGAGAAATACAGATGGAATTAGAAAGTGGATTTCCACAGACTTCACTTCGATTGAGCCACTAGGTATTAGCATAGAAAAGGGCTTCACTCTCCCGGAGAGGAGCACAGCTGCATTTCCACCTTCCCACAGTCCAGCTGTGGTTATCACTTTCTTTCAAGGACCAGAAAAGGTCTGTAGGTCTGGGGAGTCTGGCAAGAGTCTTTTAATTACAGTCTCTCCAGACTCCAAAAGAGGGACAGAGGGTTTGGTCCAATTAGTCATGGAATCAAGAGGAGTGACAGGAGCAGCTATGCATAATTAAGAGGGACCCCTCCCTCTAAAAAGGGGAAAAGACCTTAAAACCCTCACTGTTTTACAGCTCTGTGCAGCAATCCCTGCATTCTGAGACCGCCCAGGCCTCTTGCAATGTGCTGTGCTGTTGTTGCAGTGGCCCTGAGCCAAGCAGCCAGGGCAGCTTTGCCTGAGAGCACTGCCCTTAGAGCACTGCCTACAGACAGCCCCTCCCCCACCCCAGGACTTTCAGCCTTGCAGCCAGAGGTGGCAGGCTCTGAAAGCAGGTGGGGTTTTCAGCCTGCGGCACTAGCACTGCACTGTGCCTGCAATGCCCAGGCTACACAGAAGCTGCAGGGCAATGGCAGCAGAGGTGGGTGTTTCCGCCTGCCACCCCCAGTACAAGCATTCAGCTCCAACATGCACCTCCTGCTGGCAGCCCTAGGCAGCCCCCAAGGGAGAGTGGTGGAGTGGAGGGTGGAGGGCATGCTGCAGCAGCAATGGCAGCCCTGCTCCAAAGCAAACCAGTCCTGGGTTCCCTACAAGAGGCAACCACCAAGGCCTGGAACCTTTAGGAAGCAGCTCTGGTGCTGCAGCTCCCTGAAGCAGCAGGGAGGAAGATCCCTGGCAGGCAAGGGCCAATGAGGTGGGCTCCCAGCTGCAGAGGCCCTGCAATCACTAGGACCCCCCTGCATTGTGATACCCAGCCCACTGAGAGGTGTCAGGTCCACTATGCCTCTAGACCCACTGAGCCCACAAGCCTGCCCTGACTCAGTGCAAGCAGGGTTTAGGGAGGTGCATGGATTTTTCTTTTTGAATCTGAAGCCAGGATAGTTAATGGACAGATCAGTTCCCAGATAAAGGAACCAATCAGATTTTAGCTCACCATTTATATTCAAGGGTTTAAGTTCATTATGCAAGTTGAATATGAAGCCAATTGACTGGTGCTTAACTGGCAGCAATCAAACAGGATTGAAAAATAGCCCAATAGGGTTTGCGGGGTGCAAACCCTGAAGAAGGCAGCAGCCAGCTTGAATTTACTTAGTGCAGAAGAGAAGCATTCAACAGAAGTCCTCCAAAGCAGGTTGAGAAGATGACCCCCATGGAATTCAGCACACAACCTTCACAGAACTCTGCAGACATTCACAGACTTTGGAGGTTCTGCAGACAATCAGAGACTTGGCAGGCTTTGCAGATTCCAAGGCCTTAGCTGACTTCGAAACCTCCAGACCTCTGCAGACTTTCACAGAGACCCAGCCACTGCAGGTGCCTCTGGCCCTGCCTCTAACAGTGCATATGAGGAACACCTTAGGCCAGAGCCTGGTGTTTCTTACAAAGAGCTGTTCGCTGTTAATGTAGGCCGACAGCTCACATTGAACAGTAACACTGATCTCTGGCATTGCCTCCTGGTGACCACTGGTGACCAGCACTACTGATTAGTGTTATCCAGCACTGTTGACAGGTGACCAGCACCCTGTGTCTGGGCACCGCTGAGAGCTATCCAATGCTTCTGATCCTCCAGCACCACCTCCTGGTGCTAGCACATCCAGTACTGCCTGGTCCAATGTCTGGCACTATCCAGCCTGACCTTCAGACAGCTGCTGGTGGCTGCAGTGTCACCTCAGCAGTTCCACATTTGATCACCTCCAGTTGCCACCACAAGTTGGATACTGGCCCACTGCTTACCAGTGTGCCACAAACTCCAGACTTTCTTTGAAAGGACAGCACCATTTTGCACATCATGCAGAACAAATCCTACTAGACACTATGGGCACTATGTGGCGTGAGACAGCTAGTTATTTGTGGCCCAGTCACTGCGGCTACCTCAGGCCCTGCCTCTTTTTAAGAGACACTGGGCTCAGGCCGAAGGTGCTCCTTGCAGGCAATGACAGAGGCAGGGCCTGAGGTCTTGGAGTCCGCAGAGCCTTAGAAACTCTGTTTTCCCCAATCTTCTCTTTGTTAATAAATTCCATTGTTCTCTTCCAATTGTAAGCACACAAGTGAGAACCCACAAACAGTACCCTGTCCCCCTCCTTGGCTCTGTTTTCACTCTGCCTTTGCCTTCTCTGCCCATCCATTGAGGATAGAGCCCTTCAGTGGTTTCACTTCAGCTTCTCACTTTTCTCACTTTTCTGGTTCTTTGCACCATAGGCTTTGACCCTGTCTCTGTGCAGCCATTTAAAACTCATATTATCCAGGTCATCAAATCCACCCCGAGAGCTACAGTCTCGTTTTACCCCTCTGAGGCCCAGCTCTGTCTTCATTTTTCCAGTTGCTGTTCCCTGGAAATGCATCTTTTTCTTAGCCCTTCTTTTCCTTCATTACCACCTCTAAGAAAACAGTTGCCCCACTTTCTAAGTAGGCTGAATGTCAGTCTAGTTTGAACATTTAATTTCATTTAGTCTACATCCATTTATTCACTGCCCATCCAGAAAGCACATCTTTGATACCCTCTATATGCCAGGACCTGATTAGGCCCTGGGGTGCAGAATAAATAAAATCCCAGAATAAATAGAACTAGGAGCCTGAAATTTACTAGTGGGTGAGGTCAAGGGCCTTCTTAAGAACGTTTCTCTATTTACCCTTTCACACAATCAAGTTTTTGTCCTTACTCTTTCCTCTCAGATCAATATACAGGCTGAATATGTGAATACCCCCATGGTCTAAATTCCTGCTCACGTTCTCTCCCTTCCTTTTTCAGCCAGACTTGCTAAAGTGGCCTGAACGCTCACGACCTACTTCTATTTCTAGTTCTCTCCATTCATCTGGCCTTTGCCTTCATGTCTTGAAACTGTCGAGTCCTGCTGAGTGAACAACCTTACACTTTCCCTCATGGCTGACAGGGCCTCCTGCTGCAGAGATAACGGAGAGGTGAACGTGGGCTGCGGTGCTCTCCATCCAGGCCTGCAGGATGTGGCCTCAGGACACTCACATTCCTTGTGTTCAGGGCGCAGTTCCCGTCTCACCTTGCAGTTCTTTTCCCAAAAGGAAGGAGGCAACAACTGAGTGGGAAGGTGAGTCCTTAATATCCGTGGAGGGGGCATTGCTTTGGCTTTTTCCACACCTTTAAAGTAAGCCAACAAGAAAGGTCTGTACAGACAAGTACAACATCACACCGTCAGAATGTCACATCACTGCCTATCCTGCTCTCCTCTTGGCTTTCTGCTGGTGTTTCATAATGGAACGATTGATAATAGCTTCACTGCTATAGAAGCTTTAGGAGAACTTTCTTTTGCCTTAAAAATTAAATGTGTTACAATGGAATTGTTACTCAGCATTTAAAAGAAATGAGCTATTAAACCATTAAAAGACATGGGGAAACTGAAGTGCTTATTACTGAATGTAAGAAGCCAATCTGAAAAGGCTACAAACTGTTTGAGTCCAATTAAGTGATATTCTGGGAAAGGCAAACTTGTAGAGACAGTAAAAAGTGTGGTGGTTGCTAGGGAGTTGGGGGTGGGCGTGGAGAGGGATGAATAAAACACAGAGGATTTTGAGGACAGCAAAAATATTCTGCTACCATAATGGTATTATGTATCATTATGCATTTTTCTAAGCCCACAGAATGTACAGCAGCTCCAAGAGTGAACCGTAAGGTAAGCTGCAGACCTTGGATAATGATGACATGTCAGTGTAGGTTAATCGATTATAACAATGTACCTCTCTGGGGAGAATGGGGATTGTGAGTGTGCGGGAGCAGGGGTAGATGGGAAATCGCTGTACATCACTCTTAATTTTTTTAATAAACCTAATACTGCTCCAAAAAAATAAAGTCAAGAAAGAAATGAAGGGAGGAAGGAAGAAGGACAGAGAGACAAGGAGGGTGTGAGGGAGGAGCACTTACCCGAGGGTTGGGGAGGCCGTGCCCACTCAATGAAAGGGTGGCGGTGCTGAATGATGGCTCGCCTACATTTCTCCACATCTCCATTCTGTTCAATCATGTCCACAATTTCCTGAATCCATGTTGTCCCTGAGGTCCAGAAGCAGAAACCAGTTAAGAATTTGTCTTAAGGGGGCCTCCCTGGTGGCGAAGGGTTAAGATGCAACCTATGAATCTATGCACAGCCACTGCAGCATGAGTTCAATCCCCGGCCAGGGAGCTACCCACATGGAGCAGCAGACCTCTCCTGACTCGCCTGCTGCTCCCCTAGCAGTGTATTTCAGTCAAGCTGCCTGTTCTGTTCCCCACTCTGTCTCTGGTGAATCCTCTCACCCCACACACCTCTGGCCTGTACCCCAGTTCTTGTATGAATAAATAAATAATTTTTTTTTAAAGTTTAAGGGCCTCCCTTCCGACCAGCAGTCTGAGCCCACAGAGGGAGCAGGCACCCACGTCTGGGGCAGACTGGGTGCGCAGAAGAGTGTGCCTGAAACCGGAGGCGCAGGGACTGCATCCCGCTTCGCCATTTGAGAACAGGGATATTTCTTCAGTAAAAACTGCCTAAAACCAGCAGAAAGCTCCCCCAGAAGACAGAGATGGCTCCTGGAAGAGCCAGAGGGGAGCGGAGAAGTTCACCCAAGATGTCAGTCAGTCCGAGCAACACAGTGTCCCAACGCATACGACAAATTAGAAAACAGACAGTAGGGAGTAGAAGAACCACACGCAACCTAAAAACTCCTCAGGAAAGAAGCACACCACAAAAAGAAAACCACTCCCCAGATTGCAACGACAGCAACTTGGAAGAACTTCTGAGCCTTCCAGAAAGAGAATTTAAAATTGCCATGATTAAAAAAGTGATAGATCAGAAGAAGGAAATTGAGTCCCTAAAGAGGGAAGTAAGAGAAATGCAGGAGATCAAAGAATTAATGGAGGAACTAAAGAACTCTGGGAAAAGCAATGAAAGCAGAATAGATGAAATGGAAGAACGAATAAGTAATCTTGAAGACACAGAAATAAAAAGAACCAAAACAGAAAAGGAAAGAGAAGTACGAAGGAAAAAGAATGAAGAAAGACTTCGGGAACTATCTGACTCCATGAGGAAAGGAAATATAAGAGTTATAGGAATTCCAGAAGGAGAGGAGAGAGATGTAGGAACAGAGAAAATATTCATGGATATAATTGAAGAGAACTTCCCAAATGAGAAGAAGGAGCTGAAAATTGATATACAAGAAGCAAGAAGAACACCAAACTTCCATGACGAAAGGAAAAACACAGCAAGACACATAATAGTAAAGCTCCCAAGAATCCAGGACAAGGAAAAAATAATGAAGCTGACAAGAGGGAAGAAACAGATAACATTCAAAGGAAAACCAATCAGGCTGACATCAGACTTCTCTGAAGAAACACTATGGGCAAGGAGAGAGTGGAGGGACATAGTCAACAGACTCCAAGAAAACAGATGCCAACCAAGAATACTCTATCCCGCAAAGCTCTCTTTCCTCCATGAAGAAAGAATATGGACCTTCCCAGACAAAGAGAAACTCCGGAATTTCATTGTGACTAAACCCCCACTCCAAAAAATACTACAAGGAATCCTAAAGCCAGAACCTCAGAGGGACGAATAACAACGAAAGAAGACCAAAAAAAAAAAAAAAGTTATTAAAAGAATAAATAAATAAAATCAAAGGAAAGACAAACATAATGGCAAATACAGATGCTAACATATCAATATTAACTCTAAATGTAAATGGACTAAACTCTTCAATAAAAAGACACAGAGTTGCAGCCTGGATTAAGAAACAAAACCCAACCTTTTGCTGTCTCCAGGAAACACATTTAGCTACAAAAGATAAAAATAGGCTCAAAGTCAAAGGATGGAAAACAATCCTACAAGCAAATGGGCCAAAAAAGAAAGCAGGAACAGCTATACTTATATCAGATAAAACAGACTTCAAACTCAAAAAAATAAAAAGAGACCCCAATGGTCACTACATTATGATTAAGGGGACAATACTTCAAGAAGAAATAACACTCATTAACATATACTCACCAAACGAAAGAGCACCAAAATATATCAGACAACTGTTGTCCTCTCTGAAAACAGACATCAGAGAAAACACATATGTAGTGGGAGACTTCAACACACCACTATCAACAATGGATAGATCAACAAGACAAAAAATAAGTAAAGAAACTAAAGCTCTAAATAAGGACCTAGAGCATTTGGGCTTAACAGACATCTATAGAACACTAAACCCAAAAAAAACGGAGTACACATTTTTCTCAAGCGCACACGGATCATTCTCCAGGATAGATCACATACTGGGGCACAAGACAAACATCAACAGATACACCAAGATTGAAATCATACCAACCATCTTTTCTGACCACGAAGGCATCAAACTAGAAATAAATCATAAAAAGAAGGCAAGGTACTATCCTACCTCATGGAGATTAAAAGCCACACTACTGGAAGACCACTGGACTAACGAGGAGATCAAAGAAGAAATTAAAAAATTCTTTGAATTGAATGACAAGGAGGACCAATATCCTAAATGTATGGATGCAGCAAAAGCAGTAATAAGAGGAAATATATAGCAATAGAAGCTCACATCAAAAAACAAGAAAGAACTCAACGAAACAACCTAATCTCAAAGCTCAAAGATCTAGAAAAAGAACAACAAAAAAACCCCAGAACCAGTAGAAGAAAAGAAATAATAAAAACCAAAGCAGAAATAAATGAAATTGAAACTAAAAAAACAATCCAAAAGATCAATGAAACCAAGAGCTGGTTCTTTGAAAAAATAAATAAAATAGACAAACCCCTAGCCAGGCTCACAAAGGAAAAAAGGGAGAAAGCACAAATACACAGAATCATAAATGAAAGAGGAGAAATCACAACGGACACAGCAGAAATCAAAAGAATAATCAGTAACTACTATGAACAGTTATATGGAAACAAGTTCAACAATCTAGAGGAGATGGACAAATTCCTACAACTCTACATCACCCAAAGCTAGATAAAGAAAATAGAACACCTAAACAGACCAATTACAAGCAGCGAAATTGAAATGGTAATTAAAAACCTCCCCAAAAACAAAAGCCCAGGACCTGATGGATTTACAAATGAATTCTACCAACATTCAGAGACGAATTAGTGCCTATCCTTCACAAACTCTTCCAAAAATTGAGAAGGAAGGGACAATACCAAACACGTTCTATGAAGCCAATATTACACTAATACCAAAACCGAATAAGGACAACACAAAAAAGGAAAACTATAGGCCAATCTCCCTAATGAACACTGATGCAAAAATCCTCAATAAAATTTTAGCTATCAGAATCCAACAATGTATCCATAAGATAATTCACCACGACCAAGTTGGATTCATTCCAGGGACACAAGGATGGTTTAACATCCGAAAATCAATCACGTTATCCAACACATCAACAAAAAGAATATATAAAACCATATGATAATATCAATAGATGCTGAGAAAGCTTTCGACAAAGTGCAACACCATTCATGATAAAAGCCTTGAATTCTTGGGATACAAGGAACATACCTCAACATCATAAAGGCCATCTATGACAAGCCAACAGCCAGTATCATTCTCAATGGTGAAAAGCTGAAAGCAATTCCATTAAGATCTGGAACAAGACAAGGATGTCCACTCTCACCACTGCTTTTCAATATATACTGGAAGTCCTAGCCAGAGCAATAAGACAAGAGAAAGACATCCAAGGAATCCAAATAGGAAAGAAGAAGTCAAACTATCACTATTTGCAGATGATACGATAATATACATAGAGAACCCCAAAATCTCCACAGAAAAACTAATTCAACTCATCAATCAATTCAGTAAGTGGCAGGATACAAAATCAACACGCAAAAGTCAGTAGCCTTCCTATACACAAACAATAAATCTGAAGAAGAAGAAATCAAAAAAACACCCCTTTTATTATCGAAACAAAAAAATCAAATATTTGGGAATAAATCTAACAAAAGAGGTAAAGGACCTATACAAAGAAAACTTAAAACACTGTTAAAAGAAATAGAAGAAGACACAAAGAAATGGAAAGATCCCCTGCTCATGATTGGAAGAATAAACATTATTAAAATGGCCATCCTACCAAAAGCAATATACAGATTCAATGCTATTCCAATCAAAATCTCAATGGCATTCTTCAAAGAAATAGAACAATTATTGATGAAATTTCATATGGAATCACCAAAAACCCGAATAGCCAAGCTCTACTGAAAAAAAAGAAGGAAATGGAGGCATCACACTCCCAGACTTCAAACTCTACTAAAAGCCATAATCATCAAACTGCATGGTATTGGAACAAGAACAGACATACAGACCAATGGAATCGAATAGAAAATCCAGAAATAAACCACAGATTTATGGTCAACTAATCTTTGACAAAGGAGCAAAGACTATGCATTGGAGCAAAGAAAGTTTGTTCAATAAATGGTGCTGGGAAAACTGGGTCGCTACATGCAAAAGAATGAAGCTTGACCACTACTCACACCATACACAAAATCAACTCAAAAATGGATTAAAGAACTAGACATAAGACCTGAAACCATAAAATACATAGAAGGAAATATAGGCGAAACACTACGGGATTGCACGTCAAAGACATCTTTACAGACACATCACCCAAAGCAGTGATAGTGAAGGCAAAGATAAACAGCTGGGACTACATCAAATTAAAGAGCTTCTGCACAGCAAAGAGACAATAACAAAAACAAAGAGAAACCCCACCAACTGGGAGACATTTTTGCACCCAACACTAATGATAAGGACTGATCACAAAAATCTGCAAGAGCTGACGGACTCAACAACAACAAGAAAATATCCAGTCAAAAATGGGCAGAAGAGCTAAAAAGAAACTTCTCTGAAGAGGAAATGCAAATGGCCAACAGACATATGAAAAAATGTTCAACATCACTTGTAATCAGGGAAATGCAAATCAAAACTACCATGAGATACCATCTTACACCAGTGAGAATGGCACATATTAAAAAAACTAGCAACAACAAATGTTGGCGAGGATGTGGAGAAAAAGGAACTCTTGTGCACTGTTGGTGGAGTGCAACTGGTCCAACCATTATGGAGAGCTGTGTGGAGATTTCTGGACTACTAAACATAGAGCTTCCATATGATCCAGCAATTCCACTCCTAGGTATTTACCCAAAGGACAACAGAAACATCAATTCCAAAGAGAGCACTGCACTCCTATGTTTATAGCAGCACTGTTTACAATAGCTAAGCTTTGGAAACAACCCAAATGCCCAAAAATAGATGACTGGATCAAGAAGGTGTGTACATATAACCATGGAATATTACTCAGCATTCAAAAAAGATAAACACATGCAATTTGCAGCAACATGGATGCACTGGAAGGGATCATGCTCAGCGAAATAAGCCAAAAGAAAAAAGAAATACCGGATGGTCTCACTCATAGCAGGAATCTGAAAACTTAAATAAGGGAGGAAAATGAATATAAGAAGTGAAATCAAAATCAACAAAACTATTGAACCAGAGACACTTTTTGGGGGGTGGGGGGCGGGAGGGGAGGATTGGGGTCAGAATGGGGCATTTGCAATGTATGGGGGAATATAATAAAATTTAATATTTAAAAAATAATAAATAAA